ATTAGAGGAGTGACACTTGTGACTCTAAGCCTTCCAAAGTCAATTCAAGGAGGAATTAGGATTGTTATTGCTACATAACAATCAAGGTAATATCTTAAACCTAATTATATGTTAATATCGATTTCCATATGCTAGAATTAGGGTTTGTATGAGCACATAGGATGTCTTATGACCAAAACCCATCAGTTTATACTTTGGTAGTAGGTATGAAAGAAGATTTTCATGAATTGGTTTGTAGATTGTGTAAAGTGGATTACACATAGCAAAAGTTTGCTGCAACGTTCATGAATGCTTATGAATTTAATTTGAGCATTGGATTAAACCCGCACTTGCTGGTATCACTTCATGGAATTTATCACGAGTGATCACAAGACGATAATATCATATGGTTTTAAAACCTAGATATATGGTTTATTATTTTGCTAGTTGGTTATGCATTGATAATGCGTAAACACATCAGTAACTTTAGGTGATAAAACGCATTGTTGTGCATGATTTGACGAGTGAATGGTAAATGCATATAAGTCAAAGTTTATTTGTTCCTTTTATCCTAAGAGGGTAAAAGCGATATCTGGGCCCCTCGATGATTTGGTTTGACTTATGTGCCAGGCCCGGTCAGAGCTGAGTTGATGTGTTCAATGAAGTTCTATGTTAGACAAATCAGAGATTTAGAAACAAACTGTTGGACAATAAGTATGACTATGTTCCATGTAGTTGTCTACAAAATATCTAGAACAGAGGACTATACGATCCCTTATCTAAAGGACAGGTTACTGATAAGAACAAAGTTCGATAGCGTCTTTGAGAGCTACGCTTGCTAATTGGATAGTACTTGCACTGTAGTTACTAGACTTATCCAAGTGGGAGACTATTGGATTAGTGTCTAACCCATAACTATATTTGGTATGTACTTGACCCGGTTGTGCATGGTCCTTTTGAGTTGCATTCACCAAAGCAACTTGACAGGATGATTTTTACAGAGAGAGAGAGAGAGAGAGAGAGGTTATTGTGGTTTATTAATATATTATATGAATAATATATTAAAGGAGAAATCATATAGTTTAATTAGTATTAGTTAAGAATTAATTAAGAATTAATTTTGTAGCTAAACGAGATTAATTAATTAGAGGGGACTGGAACTGTCAATTGTGTGATAGTTGAATATTGGCCTGAGAATCCTTATGGATTAGGGTATGGACGAAATTAAGGATGAGTCCATCTTAATTTCGTCCATAGAGGCCTTATTCCAGAAGGTTCTCAAATTACTTAGGGCCTAAGTCATCCAATTAGGGTTTTGACTGAAACCCTAGAAGCTCAAGTATATAAAGACCCCTAGGGCTAAGAAAATCGACCACTTGATCCCTTGGAAGCTTGGAGCCAACTTTTACCATCTCATCATCTCCCCTCTACATCATTCTCTTGCTTGTGGTGTTTGTGAGCCATTAAAGGTGTTACACTTGTGACACTAAGCTTCTTGAAGATCAAAGGATTCTTGCAACTATTTAAAGGTATCATCTATACTTGTTACGTTGTAGATCTTGTTTTTGATAGTATGCTAGATTAGGGTTTCAAGTCCTGGATGAATTGCATGTGTAATAGAGAAACCTAGATCCAAACATATAAGGTTTTGCATGAGCACGTATGATTGTTCTTTTGTGTAAAATCCATCATAGTAACCAACAGATAAAGAAGCTTCTCAATTCTCTTTGATGGTGAGTTCATCAAATACTGGGGGAAATTGTTTAGAACTTTCTCCGACTTGTGTTTTAGGTATAGATGTTCAATGTAATAAAAGTTGGGATAATTAAGATCACACACACACACAAAATAACATCTTACTTTCAATCTTTTTCCTTTTTTTTTCTATTTGTTAAATGCAAAACAAACTTAGGAAATAGCATGCACTTAATTAATCTAGTAAAAATTTCTTTCTATTCATTCAAATTTCATTCCATTGTTTCTCGGGGTCTAAAAAGAAAAAGATAATAGGTGTGTGATGACAAAGCTATGCCTAAAATAAACCATTGTTTCTTGAGGTTAATCCGCCTTAGCTTTTATATTTCATTTAAATAAGTATGTATTCAACGGTGATGGTGATATGTTAGTAAAATCTCAAAAACCCATACATGTAATAGAAGTATTTATTCTTTTCTTTTGGTTGCAATGTACTTTGAAAAATAAACCCAAATTAGTAGATTTCAAAGTACACTGCTGATAAGAAGAAATGAAAATTGATTGTAAAATATACAAATTAACAAATATATACTACTATTATCAGTAAAAATTCCAATTAATTCAATTTATTAGTTTATTATAACACACACACACACTTTATTGAATACAAAAGGCACAGGGTAGAAAACAAAAACATAAGTGTATGTTTGAAGCATAAATGAAGTTGCAATATGAAGGCATGATCAAGCTCATCATTCCCTTTGAAAATGATTATTTTGCCATTGGATTGTTAAAAAGAGAATATCACAGAAATCAATTTTATAATTCTCTTACCCGTTGATTTGCTATAAATTAAAAAAATGATGATTTTTGCAATGTTATAAACCTTAATAAAAGGATAGAAGAGAATAACAAATTTGGTCCATGTAGTGTGGTATATCGTTCTATTTCAGTTTTGGTCCAAGGGTAAAATGGTCATTATCAAATTTTGACACATAGAACAAACTCGATAAGAAACTTTAAAATAAGGACCAAAATTGCAAAAGGTCTTTTTGGGACAAAAAATTGCAAAATTAGTTCTACTCAGGACCAGAAAAGTAATGCACTCGTTTATTCTTAACTTTAAAATGACATATTTTAATTTAGTGAAACATTGTATGTATGAAGTTCATATAATGTAATACCCACAGATTATGAGATACTAAGGAATTCATAGTCAAAAATCAATATATTTAAGTAAATATCAAATAAACAAATTGAAGAAGAAACTGTGTTTCCTTTGCCAAAACACTACAATATTAATAAAAGAATAATACAATATTCATAAAACAAAAGAAACATGTTTTAAATGACCATGTAGTTATAACAAATAAAAATGTTGTTTTTGGATGGCAATTAGCTTCTCATAGTGCTACGTGCAACTTCCTTTTTATGTTTCTAAACAACAACATTGCCTATTTAATCATTTAAACCCCATAATATGAAAAAATTTCCAGATTAAACATAGGTCAAACTTGGAACTTATACCCTTGCTTCCAGATTCAATGTCATATCATTCTCAGATTACAATCAAGTGTATAAAGTCATATATACTTGTCACCCTGCTCATTATTTGCATCAAAATCAAGATTTCACCAAGTGAATCCTTGCATTACAACATAAACTATAATGAAAAAGACTCAAGCACAGAAGCATTGCCATTAAGAAAATTTCCCTTACCATTTTTAATTGGTTTAATAAGAGAAAAGTTTGTAAGGAAAGCAGGGATTACCAACACACCAGTTTATAACTTCATAACCATGAGAATCATCTATCTTTTGAGCTTTGAAGATAAAGTACTTATATGCTTGGGATGTGTTAAATACTTGTTATGCTAACCATTTTTATATCAGGAGTGGAACTCTAGCAACCTGACAATTACAAAAACTCCAAAAGCTTTATAAAAAAACAAAACTTAAATATAAATGTTGAAATCTTAAATAGGAAAATAAAGTAAAGTGAATAGAAACAACATTTACATCTTTGGAAACAAAAAATAAGTAATTTTTTGTTAACATGAAAATATATGAAAAAATTAAGATCATTTAATTAACAAAAAGATGATTGTAAAACAAATTAGAACCAAAACTTGAAATGTCTCTATATATGAAAATCCTAATACTTAATATGATTGAACTAACCAGAGCTTGGAATGACTCCTCAATCTACAACTTCATGTATGGTTATATGGTGAATCATATACAACACCATAGGGAGATGGTGCATTACACCATGTTAAAAAGAAACATCTCACCACAGTCTTGATCTTGACTGCTCTTAGTACTAAAATTATTATGTCTTTGTGAAGGAAACTAAAAGTTGAACATATATAAAAAAACAAACACAAAACATTTATAAAAACCGAAATTATATTATAAAGCATAAGGTTTCAAACATAAAGTGAAAACAACTAAACATAATACTCAAAACAACGCATCATAAACTCAACAAAGTTAACATAAACATATTAAAACCAACTTATAGAAACATCAAGCCTTCACATCCGACTCATCAAGGAGTTTCATGGGCCGATTTCGATTGTGAATGCAGACCCTGACTTTCTTTCTTGGTTGTATGACATCCTCTTCCTCATCATCATCTGAACAAAGTTCCACAACTTCATCCCATATCCACTGTGATAGAGCTAAAACCCTTTTCTTTTCCTTTCGAATTGTTGATCTTCTTTAGAAATTTCAAAAACCTGAAACAAAATATGAAACATCATAACTATTAACAATTGATGAAAAGGTGAGCAATTTTTTCCTCTTCCGAAATAAAAAGACGAACAATTTTTACCTCTTTCAAAATAACCATTTCCAAAATGGATTTATAAGGACTGAAGTGAGGAGAATACTCAATTATCTCAGTAAAGTGTGAATCAACGGATTTGGCTGATATTGTTTGAAGGTTGGCAATTTCATGAACAACTTCAGTGTTCTTCATTATGCAGCGATAAGAAATTAAAATAATATATCAAAAAACATAGCAAATGGCCAAAAATAAACGATAGTTAGATTGAACAATATAATAAAACCAACGATTTAATCAATTTTGAATTGAGATAGCTACAATTAAACACTAAAAAAAGTATAATTTTCCAAACACGGGAATCTAAATCAAAACATCTATTCAAGAAATTTTACCTTTAGTGAAATTTCTTCTAACGGAAAAGCCAATTTTTGGTCCATGATTGATCAACCAATAAATAGATTTCAGGTGATGGAATAGCGAATACATGTAAAAAAGTGACATTGTATATAGACATAATAGTTACTACAGCTACCTACCTGATGTACAGGGCTAATAGAGGTGGGTAGTTGAACTCGGGGGGTAGTGAGGTTATCTGTGAAAGGGGAGGAACGTTGTAGGGAGAAAGTGGAGTTTCTAGAAGTAAACATGGAGAAGAAGTGGGAGGTTGAAGACATACCGGATAACGTGGAGAAGAAGATTGAGCTCGATAAAAAAACTATATAAAGAACTATAAATAATAAGTTTATGTGGCTGTTATCAAAAGTTGAAGAAATTCAACCGCTATGACAAAATGGTTATTTGTAACCCAATATTAGTAATAATAATAATTTGATAACATACCCGATTAACTTGAGAATAAAAATGATTTGAAAGGCATCTCCCCAAGCTAAAAGAACGGGTTAACTAATAATCATAAAAAGCCAAAATAGTGACATCATTTTACTAATTAAAAGTAAAAAAGCCAATGCGATTGAGAAACCTGTGTGCCTCTATTTCCCGATGAATCACCTCAAAGCAATCAAAAGAAACCAGAAATTAAAAGCAGACAAATGGAGTCTCTGACAACACTCTGCCTCCTGCCACCGTGATAAAACACAACACTCTCCACTCATTCACCCAAATATTCATTTCCATTTCCATTTCCATTCTTTCATAACCAAAACCCCTTTTTCTCAATTTCCTCTCAAATGGGTTATCTTCCATCTTCCTTCCTTCTTATCATCGTTTTCATCGAGCTCTGTTTTCATGGCTCCTCCATCACACACTGGGAAGACGTACAAGCTCTCAAACAGTTCAGAAATGGCGTCAATTCCAACTCAGTGGGTCCCGGCTCCTGCTTAGCTTCCTGGGATTTCTCCGTCGATCCATGTGACTCGCTCTCCGGCGAGAAATTCACCTGTGGTTTCCGATGCGACGCCGTGGTCTCCGGCGTTAGTAGAATCACCGAGCTCACACTCGACCGGGCTGGTTACTCCGGTTCACTCGCGTCTTCATGGAACCTTCCTTATCTCCAGACATTAGACCTCACTAGCAACTACTTCACCGGTTCCATTCCCGGTGCTTTTTCCCGATTAACTCGTTTGCAACGACTCAGTCTCTCTGGGAACTTGCTCAACGGGTCAATCCCTGACTCGGTTGGGTCGCTACCCAACTCACTCGAGGAGCTTCTTCTCGACAACAATAATCTCCAGGGACCCATTCCACGATCTCTCAACGGTCTAAAGAATTTAAAAAGACTCGAACTTCAAGGAAACAGACTCAGTGGCGAGTTCCCAGAGTTGACTCAACTCAGTCAACTTTACTTCCTTGACGCCAGCAACAACGCCATTTCCGGCGACCTTCCCTCGACTTTCCCCAGCAACCTCATTGAACTAGCCTTGAGAAACAACTCACTACAAGGGAATATTCCGGCGAATTTACTCAATAACTCGGTTTATCTTCAAGTATTAGACCTGAGTTACAACAATCTCACTGGTTCCCTTCCACCGGATCTTTTCACCCACCCTTCTTTAGAACAGCTGACTCTAGCATACAACCAGTTCCGGTGGGTTCTTATTCCGGCGAACTGGGGCCAGAACAGCGAGCTCATAGCTGTTGATTTGAGTAACAACGATATCCATGGGTTCTTACCCGGATTCTTGGGTTGGATGCCGAAACTATCCGCTTTATCATTGGAGAACAATAAGTTTTCCGGTATGATTCCAACGCAGTATGCGTTGAAGGCGGTGGCGGAGGAGGGTCAGGGAGGAGTAGCTCCGTTTGAGAGGTTGTTGTTGGGTGGGAACTACTTGTTCGGGTTGATACCCGGCCCGTTATTGCAGTTGAGATCCGGGTCGGGTGTGACGATCCGATTAGGGGATAATTGTTTGTATGAGTGCCCCGAAAGCTTTTACTTTTGTGGAGGAGGAATACAGAAAAGTCTGATGGAGTGCAAGGCTTTTACTCCCGTGATCCCGTGATTTAAATTTTGTAGGGTCAATGTCATGGATTCAATTGAATGGTGTATAAGTAAAATTCGAATTTTGTTTATTTATTTATATAATGAATTATTTTCGTAGAAGTTGGTGAACTTTACGGAAATTTTGTTTTAGATTTTAGTTGATCGGAAATCTGACATCCATATTAAACGCTAAAATATTTGTTACGAAATTGCTACATCTATATTAATCACTAGAATATTTTTCTTGAAAATCTAACAATCACTAGACAGACAAAATCTCGGAGCACATGTTTTCACTTGAATTAATGGGCAAATATAATTATTAGGCTTTTGGATATGTTCATATTTTTAATACTATTTTTTTTTTTCATATCAGGTGTCATGTTATTTCATTCTCCATGTATTTCGTTTTTATTAAGAAACTAGAATATGTGTGGAAACCACGGATTAGAAATAAAAATACTATTGATAGTTTCAAATCATAATAACTAATCAAAGATTTGTACAAATTTATTAATTTACAAACATAGAAGTTTATAATGATTAGTTAAAATTAATATAAACATTATTGTTAATATATTATGTGTCCTATGCGTATAAATATTTGATAAAAGGGAAAATAACAAATATCCTACGAATTTTTTAAGGTTTATCCGTTGAGTTTCTAAAAATTTTATCGGGTTTTATGGATCCCTATACTAGGATATTACATGTTCTTTTAGTTCCTGTCAACCTATAATAGCTGATTCAGTGACCTTTTAGATAAAAAAAAACCCTCACATTTTGCCCCTGTAAAGCCAAAAAATAAGTTCGGGGATTAGTTTGTAAAAAAAAATTAAAAAAAAAAACTCTAATTTTTTTTTCCTAAAGCTAATTCACACTTAATTTGTATTGATCCCCGAACGTATTTTTTTAGCTTTATAGGGGCACATTGTGTGTGAGTGTGTATTTTTTGTCTAAATGATCATTGAACCGACTATTATAGGTTGATATGAACTAAAAGAGCAGGTTATATCAAAGTTTGGGGACCCATAAAGGCCAACAAAAACTTTAAGTACTCAACGAGTAAGCTCTAAAAAGTTCGTAAAGCATTTGTATCATTTTCCCTTTGATAAAATCATAATTTTGTACAAAACAATATACATTTGAATAGAGTAAAGATATGTGTTCCGTATATCTAGATATTTGATAAAATCATAATTTTGTACAACACAATATACATTTGAATAGAGTAAAAGATAATATAAAAATTTTAAATCTATAAATTGTTTATAAATTTCTAAAAAGTTAATAGTTGTAATAGTAATTAATAACAGATTTGCAAATAGTTATTTTATTAGAAACTTAGATATTAGATATTTTATCTGTAATTGTATAATGGTCACTTTAAATTAATTATGCAAAATTCTTTGAAGATATCTCTAAATATTATTAAAAGAGAACCTTTAATTCACCAATGAAGCAATCATAACCATTGATTGTGTTTTAATACTCTATTTTCTACCATTAGATCAAATTGTTGACATTATCTTCCCCAAATAAAATCCAAACACAATTATATTTAATTATAAAATCTGTAATGATTATAGAATCTTTAAAATTATTTTTTGCAATGAAAACATATCATTCTATTTATATACATGATATCAGTTTCTTTAATTAATATTGTTCTTAATTTAACTCCCTTATTTATAGGTTTGATTTCCAAATTCAAGCCCGTTTATATTTTATTTATTTATGTTAAAAAAGTCATTAAACAAGCATATCAATAATTAAGTTATTAACCTATAAAATATAATCTAATCCTATTCAATCAACAAAATATTTAAGAGTCAAAATTAAATTTAATATTATTCATAATTTATTTCCCAGTATATCTCACATACAATGAATTAATTTGATATAACTGTTTGAATTTTAAAACTGATTAAATAAGAAAGTTAATTAATTTGAAGTTTTAAATTAATATAACTAATATAATTTTTTTTCCAGATGAATAGCCAAAAAATCTCCAAGATGATATCTTAGGATCCTAATTTTTTAGAAGATAATGATTTCCTTATTGAAAAACACTATATATATACGATTACACTGAAGTGGTTATTTTTACGATTTTAGATTGAGTCTTATGATTTATAGTGTTCTTGAGCAATCTTCTCCTTCAGTTCTTTTTTCCAAGCTCTTACTTTACTCTGTTCTCCTTATTCTTCTTCAATTTCTTGCATTTACTATGTTCTTATTATTTGTTATTACTTTGTTCTTGATGAGAGGTCATGAAAAAAATTAATCAATATACTTTAAGCATATTAGTTTCATTCATTTAGTTACAGAAACAAAATTATACCCTTTATATCGATTTTTTAATGTGTTGACCTATGTTTGTCAAGAGAAAACCATAAAAGTTGTTTTAATGCATGATGACAAAGCTAGTGGAACGGACCAAAAGTAGTATAAAGAAAATTTTTATTGTTACACTTCGACTTACATGAACAAACACGTATCTGTTGTTTCAAGGTTTTCAATAACTCTTTTATACATATCATTATAATCTTCGATTAAATTTTCTAATTTTATATTATTGAATTTGTTTATATCAATGGTTTTAGTTTCAAAATCACCATTATAGTGCAAGACTTTACCGGCGTGGTGTCACTTATGTTATTTGATCGTGACGTAAAGAAACTTCTGGAAAAAAACACAGAAGAGTTGCTTCAAAAGTTTAATGAGGTTATCGATATTAACTTCATTTTCATAAAACTAATTTTTACCCTTTGTCTTTCTATTTTTATAATTGTTAATTTTTTCATTTTTAGGAGGGTAATATGAAGATTTATCCGTTTGCTTTGAAATTACTTTTGGATAAAAAGTTGACATTTAAAATTCAAATTTATCATTATAATTTGAAGAACAATGGTGATGGTTATACAATCTCAAACTTCAATGTTGATAATAAAATCATAATTGAATTAGAAAAAGAAAATTAACATAAAAAAGATAACATTTATTACGAAACATACTACAAACACTACACTTATTATATTCGTTTTTTATATTTTAGTTGATCAACTAATATATTTCTATGTACTATAAATAGAGACGTTGTAATCCGATTTGTTTAACATTTTATCAGTGAAATTTGGATGTCAATACACATTAAATTTAAAGGTTTTAAATATAATATAACTAAATATAATATTTTAAATACTTTAAAATATTATTAACTTTTAGATTGACATATGAATTTATTGTCTATATTTAGGATGCAGTTTCGTTTACTGGTGATAACGTCATACTCGCTTCGAATCTTGATGAAAGTATTGCAACAAGTCTACTAACTAAGTGGACATCCTTTAAAAAAGTGTCTAGACATGAAGAATTAAAACACAATTTGGAAGATGTTTATGATGTTGATAATCTGGAAATAATGTCTTGAACCAAATGATCATTAACACCAATGACATATCGTACTTCTGGAGAAGGCAAACCAAGACTGTTAATTCAAAAGAAAGAAAAATAATATATGATTTTCATGATTTTATATGAGTAGTTGGGTGATTTGAGTACGGTTTATGTCATATTATATTTACATACTATTTGGTTTTTGAGTTTGGTTTTTGATTAATGTGTTTCATAGTATTCGTTTTTTGGGTTAGAATTTTGATCATTTAAATACATTTTGGGTTTTATGAAATGTTAAATTATTCATCTATTTTCCTTTTGGGTTTAAACTCATGAATTTAGAATTTTAATCATTTTTACTCTATTATTCTGTTTGAGTGTGAATTTGTTAGCATTGTTACAATGTTATTCATTACAACTTCAATATAAATATTAACAAACTACAAATTTTTATGAAATTATAAACTTTTATAAATCTTCTAACCATTCTAAAACAATTATTTATAGTTAAGTGTGAATTTATTGATAAATTTATTAGTAAAACGTATATTATTCAAAATATTATTATTTTTTAGATATTAATGATATCCACAATTTTACAGATTTAAATAATAAAACACATTACAATGATGCTCAAGAGAGGCGAAGACTAAGACAGTTACATTTTTTTTGGAAAGGGAACTTCCCTAACGAGGGTTTCCAAACCAGCTTTCATGCACCGACTAATCCCCGTTGCGAACATGAGGCTATGCCTCATGCACTGGAGTCACTACATGCGAACATCCATGGCCACAAATGTTGAGTAGTACCAGGATATGAACATGGGTCAATAGGTTACCCATCATATCTTCCATATGTCTTACTAAGTCACCACAACCCAAGTGTAAGACATTTTCATTTACAAAATAGAAGATTGAATTAAATGTCGAAAATAGAAACTTTATTTCATCATCTAAATCAATAAATATTTTTTATTGTGTTTCACTTATACTTTTTTCACCATTAGAGCAAATTGTTTATGTCATCTTGACCAATGTTTAGTTAAACACGTTATTCATCAATGTTTTTACTCAAACGTCCACCAATTTCTGTTATCCCTAAAATAAAATTCAAATACTCCCCAAATTTAAAACCATAACTTATGAACTGACCATCCTATATGTTTGCGAATCAACATGATATATCTTCTTAATTATTCTATTTCTTTTTTAGTGTACATCGATGGTGCCAAAATCCATCAAGGACAAAACAGTAACCTTGTATTTAATTTTTTATTAATATAGTAAATACTTCCACTTTTGAAGATAATAATTGGTCTCATACATGTTAAATTACAATTGCTCGATTTCCAACTATGTAACTCAATAACTTTATGTAATTATTCTTAACCTTACCTTTTTCTGTAACATTATTGATTAGATTTACTATAATTAAGTTTAAATTGCAGAGATTTTTACTTGAAAGTGATGAGCATTAGTTGATGATTCATTAAAGGTTGAGGATGATGCAAAACTCAAACTCACTTAGTGGTAATATCATACATACCTAATAATTGATTATTTCGGAAATAGTAGTATCCATTTAACTTTGATTACAAATTTTTAGAATTAACCATATTTT